AGATGGTAAAAAAGTTGGTGAAAGGCGATGCTGCGTGAGCGCTAGCACTTCTGTTGCAGTCCCTGGGGGGGAGTGTAAGAAAAACTTCTCCCTAAATACAACGTAAATACGGCCTTGGTGGCAAGCAGGTTGATGTAGAGACTCCTGAAAGATGCTGAGCTCCTGCTGGCAGCCGTGTAGATCAGAGAGTTAGCAGACTTCCTCTCGCGTGGGCGATCGCTTAGCGCGTCGCTCGCTGGAAATTCAGAAAGCCGGGAGCGCTTTAACCGGGGTAGAAAATGCCATCTTTTGCTGCCGCGTTCTTACGAACGGGTTACAAACGATGCTGGATGCCGGAGGAGCCGAAAGAAGCGGCTGCCATAGCTGCTGTGGTAGAGGAGTAAACGAGGGATGGTTTTTTATTTTTATTTTTCTTGGCTCGGCAGCTTGGTGGCTTGCCTTTTGAAGCTGAAATAATTCCAGCTTTCCTGCTAGCTGCACGGCGTGCTTGTCGGTGGTAACGTCCCGTCGTGCTCGCTGTAAGAGGCGAGGCAGAGTCATAGCTGCCAGTTTGCAGAATATTTAGACATTTCCCTAGTTGCAGAAAAAGCCCCCGTGCTGAATTTTCTCGTGCCCAGTTGCCCTCGTGCCTCCTGCGTGTTTTGAAGGCCGCTGGCCAATGCCTTCTGGCGTTCTTGCACACCCGCCCTGCGCTGGTCTTCGATGTAACGACAACTTGTCTTATGCTGTTGCATCTGTTTTTTCAAGAGATCAGCAGAGTGAAGATCAAAGGGAGTTAGGGAGTAGCCCAAATTGTTACCCCCCCCCCCCATAACCTTTGTCCTTGACAGACCCTGAATACTTAATTTAATTGGAATGATTTTAAAAAAAAAATCCACTGGGGACTTGGAAATACCAGTGCCATTGTGCTGTGTTTGACTCGTGTAACCACAAGCCAGCCTCCTTTCAGCCGTGAACATCTCTTCTTTGGGATAAACGAGGCTAAGGGAAGTTCCCTGCAGCTTTCCTCGGGGGCTGATTGATGCCTTGTTCTCAGGACGATGCGGTGCCAGGCTTGGTTCGGTTAGTCCCCATGAAAAAAAGCACTTGTAGAAAAACAAAATTATGCACCCGGTCGGAGAGGACTCGGGTCAGTAGATCAGAACGGCTGTCGTTGAACCCTGCAGGCTTCAGTGCCCATCCCTAGTAAAGTTGGGGGACAGCCTAACTCTGTAAACCTACCAGGGCAGTTAGCTGGTAGGGTCAGACCCTCACTTTTCCTGGGTAGAGACAGAGGACTCTTTCCCTCCATGGATTGGGAGGAAAGAGGTTTTGCAGTTCCAAAACAAATGGGAAATATTAGGCCTTTCCAGTGGTTTAAATATGACTTTTGTGTGTGATGCCAGAACATTGGGATAATGGGTGGGGGGTGATGAAACCAACCACCTCTTACATATTTTTGGCACCAGAGAGAATGGCTGGCACCGTCTCGGGAGCACTGGCACGGCTTTTAGTACTATGGCACCAGATTTACCATTCTCCTCCTACATGATTAAAACCTATATTAGAAAAAGGAGGTTGGAAATACCTCCCAGCTGGAAGGTTGGAACAAGGAATGGATGCAAGCAGGAACATCCTGGCGGAGGCCAGAAGAAGGCACCAAAGCATTTGCTATTTCCAAAAATGAGACCCAGCTTCTAACTGGAGATAGGAGACCCGGTTCTTTAGAAAGCCCAGGGCAGAGCAAGTATTGAGACCTTGGTAGGCGTCCCGGAGGACTGTTCACGCACATGAGTAGCATGTGCCATCTGAGATGCTTTATGCGTTTTACAAATGCCGCTCACCTTAGCCTCCTAGCACGCTTTTGGACTGGGGGTGCTGCCTTTATCACCCCAATCTTGTGGTTTGGGCAGGTCTGATTTGAGACAATCAAGAGGGTTTAAAGGCCAGGATTTCCAAAGTGTCCTGTTTTGGGGAGGTTCAGTTTTTGGCTCTCTGATCCCTTCCATAATTGTTTACAACACCTAGACATTAGAGATGAGAACAATCTGCTTTTCCTTTGAGTCCTCTGAGTAAAGATAGTGGACTCGACTCTGGGATGGCCTGAGTTGCAGAGCAAACAAAGGTCTGGTGCCGAGTGTGGAAATGCAGAGTTCCCAGCATACATGTAATGTGCATTATAAATCATATCAGTACAGGATTTGCATGTACATGCAGTCTTCATTTGCATCGCTGCCCATCTGGCGTAAAACACATGGAAGAAGTCAGGTCATGCTTTCTCAGTAGCCATCCAGTAAGTATTTGTAGATTGTAAGGAGCTGGAAGGGTCCTTACAAGATCATTGGGTCCAGCCTCCTTGCACTAGGCAGGAAAGTATTATATACACGTGACCTGGATGAAGAGCTGAACAGATCCCTTTGGGGATCCGACTAAAGGCAGCATCTAGCTCTTGCTGAAAGCAGTGGAAGCTGTCTAATGGACTGCGGTAGAAGTTGCATCACGCCTTTAATTGGCTAGCACTTTTAAGGGCCGGTCTTAGGTTACAGGTCAGTACACTGGAGATAGGCACAGTGATTTCATTCATTTCGGTGCATATTATGATAAAACCATATTTTCCAAACTCCTGTTTTCTGACTTGCTTACCACCCTACTGCGGTTTATTCAAATGGAAAGATCCTGAAGGATTTGGGTGACGTCCTCGCTCCCACTCTGCCCTCTTTACACCTGTAAGAGGGTAAGAACAGTGCTAATGAGCTCTAAAAAGCCCTGGATTCAGCCAAGAACAAAAATGCCCTTGGTATGGGAGATGCTGTTGTTTATTTGGGGTCCCCAAGGCCACCTTTGAGCTTTTCTTCAGAGCTTGGAGTCACAAAGATAAGAGGGAGTGATGATCTCTCCTTCCCTGTGCTGGCAGCTCTGTGTTGCACCTCTCGGGACACAGCATCTCCCCCTTTATTCTGCTTCTGGCTTTGGGAACGGGACCGCCAGGCTTTCGTCTGGTTGCAGGCATCCTCATGTCTCCGTGCTTACGAGCTGGCTAACCCTGCTCAGTAACAATGCAGAAGATAGTTCTGGGCCAACCAAAATAGCTGCTTTCACTGAAATTTAAAAATAGCCATGGAAACTTTTCTACTAGTGGCATTATGTGAACAAGACTTTTTCTAAAGCCCAGGCTTGGGGCTCACCGTGACTGAGAGTGCAGTGCCGTCTTGTAGAGGGGCTCAGCATTGTTCAGAGATGTGGGAGAAGTCGATAGATATGAAATACGTGCTAGGCTGGGGTGGGTCCGACTGTCTCCTTTTGTGAATCTTCCCAAACTATAGCTACACCTTTTTGCATGTAACAAACGTCAGTCATCCTGGCCTCTTCCGTCCACATTCCCTCTCTTTCCAGCGTCCTAATGTCCTTGATGAGTTAATCAAGGATGGAGCTTGAAATGTGGGAGAAAAACCTGAGCTGCCTGGTTGACCATGCACTTGAAGACAGCTTTATTTGTTCAGTAAAATGTCTTGGTTGGTCTTGGCGCGATTTCTATTGAAATAGAGACCTTGGATCTCCACCTAGTGGTGGTACTTTCATTTCCTCCATAAAATGCTGTCAGACTGGGAGTTATTGTCACTTGTCTGGGGGGTTATGGCTGGTTCAAAATATTCAGATGTATTCACAGCTTCCTAATGCTGTTTCCTATCTGGAAGCAGTATGAAACCAGAACTTAAATCATCTCATGTGGGTATCTGCAGTCTTCATGCAAACGAGATGTAGACACTCGCCTTTTCAGCAGCCGACATAGTCTTACCTTGTGCCTTGGAGCCCCTGAAACTCATAGGATTCAAAAAGACTTCATCGTGTAAGCAGTAACCTTTTAGTTTTGGGAGTAGGGAAATACATATGGGGAAAGCATCTCTTTTTTTATTTTTCCCTTCTGTGTGGTCAGGCCTGGGGATTCATTTTGGGGTTTGGTACTTGTCTAAACTTCCAGCTATTTTCTGATTTAAAAAAAAAAAGAGAGAGAGAAAAAGCAGTACAGAAAAACTAACATATGTTTGTTACTCAGGCAAGTGTAGTTACTAAAAGTAAAAAAAATAAAGACCTCCATGCCATGGGCTTAGCTTGCAGGTTTAGCTGGAGCAAGTTGCTGATAGTCGGGATGTATGTGTGTAGTATGTCCTTTCTACTCCTCATTCTTTCTTTTTTTGCCATTCAGCTGAGTTTCCTAGCTCTTAGCTCACTCTCCAGCCCATGCTTGGTAATTCCCGTTTCTCCCCATCATTGTGATTCTCTTGTCTTATGGTCCTTAAAAAAAATCTTCCCCTGGTATATCACAGCATGGTGCAAGACCTGGTCTGGTCTGGTATATGCTTAGGTGAATCAGTTGGATTTTCTAGCTCTTTTGAACCAGCTTGTTTATCCCAGGATGATCCATCTGAGTCTTTTTTTTATCTTTGACACTCTTAGTACTTAGGTCCTGGACCCCACAATGGTTATTCCGGCATTGTTTGGTTGCTCGGTGTGTTTTTCCATGTGCCTTTCCAGTTTTCAGATGGCGGTAGAGTTTCCACCTGCTTTGGGGAGACCAGAAGAGTCTCCAAAAACATAAGAGGTTATACTTCTGCCAGGATTCTCCATGTACAAGAAAAAAATGCAAGTATGTGCTCCAACTGTTGCTAAAGGAACACACTTTTCAGCCCGGTGTTAGCCGTATTCCTCCTGCAAAAAATGCTCAAGCTGTCTTTCTACATCTGTACAGTGCCTAGTGCGGCAGGCCTTCCAGGGAAAATTGTAATAGAAATAATGAATAGCGACATGAATAAGGGGTGGAGCTCTCTCTTTCTTTCTCAGACTACAATATTCAGTGGGTCTTTTAGACCTAACATGATGAGTGAGCATGCAGACTTGTGGCAAAAGATGTGATGTGGGATTAAGTTCCTCCCCCCCACCCCCCAAATTGATAAATCATGAAAAGATAAATGGTTAAGGTTTCAAAGCAAGTAATGATTTGTCTCTCTCTCCTTTGCGGACAGATCGGCTACGTCCAGGTTGGATCAGAACACTTGCTAATACAACCGGTTAATATCTCGGAAACCTCGTTCAGCGGAAAAGAGCACTTTATCCGGCGCAAACGGTCCTCAAAATCCAGCCCTCCCGGGAGGTTGCGGGGTCCTGATGAACACTGCAGTGTTGTGTCCGGTGAGTTTGAGACGCACGAGTGACCTCTCGTAACACACGTGCGGTTCTGGTGGTGCCTGCGGTTCTGCCACGTTCCTTTGTTCACGTGTGATCCAGTTGATTTGGGCATTAGAGCAATTGGAGGTAGTCATGGATGATGCATGCCCGTGGATTTGGCTTTGTGAGCAGAGAGAAATGAAAAATAGGCTGAAGAACCTGTGCTGAAATGGGTTTCTTGGAGCAACGTGAGTGAGAGAAGGTGTGCGGTGGTTATGGCTGCATGCTGTGAAGCAGGAGTTTTGTGCCCAGCTCCAGCACTGTGAGAATTAAAAAATGTCTTCAATTTGCTTTCCTATAAATCGGTAAGTGTTGTTATTTGCACACATTACCTGGGTTCAGATCTTTAATGCTTCTGCAGTGCTTTGAGAGTCGCATTAAAGGCATTTTATACTGTGCTGTCATGAAAGGGCTGAGCCTGTAGTACTGAAGTCCATGGGAGCTTTACTGCTGCGGTCTGTGGCAAAAAGATCAGGCCTTCCTATACACACATATCTTGGTCATCCCTTTATGACTGAAGATGCCACAAAGCTGTTCTGTAGGTCCAGAGATCCTGTCTGTAGCAGAGAAAAAGGACTGTAGGATGGTGTCCTTTGAGTGTGTAATTGGACTTTCCGGTGGAAGGCATGTGTTGCATCTCGCACCGAGTCTGTAGTTTCAGGCTGGCTGTGAGCCCAGTCCGAATCCAGGGTGGTGATTTGGAAGCTGACCCCTGGAGAGAGAAATCCTAACGCATTGAAGTTGACTCTGAATGTCCCTTAAGTCAAAGAGGTTCAAATTCTGAGTTCACCCTCTGAGCCTCAGTACTGTCTTTGGCATCTCTGTACACCTGGATACAGGCCTGAGGGGAGAAAGAGGATGCTCGTGTCACTAGGAAGTTCTGAAGTGGGACATCACTAAAACGATCCCTTCAAACCAAAAAGGGGTGACAGATACAGGTGTAATTTTATACGCGGGAAGCCCCAGCTTCCAATAAAACAAGAGAACAAGAAGCTCCCTCCAACAATGGCACTTCTGTTCTTTAGGTAACATTTCCCTGTCTACTGATATCTTCTCCTTCTCTTCCCCCAACCCTCCCCCCTAGTAATTCCAGTGCCACGGAGGAATAAAAGATCAAAAGCGTCAGTAAATTTATCTGCTTGGAGGGTTTGTGCCTATGAGCTGCTGCAAATCTTCTCAGCCTTTCAGTGCTTAGCAGCTTGAAATGCTGAAAAAATGCAGCTGTTCCCACTCTTTTTTTTTCCCCCCTTTTTTTCATTTTTTTTGTTTTGTGTTGTTTGATGTTCATAGTAAAACAGCTGCTTGGTATGAGCACGTCTTCCCCTTTATCAGAGGTCCCGGTGGCTGTCCGAACGCGCATTCAGCAACTGCATCCTGTCCTCTTCCATCTGTAAGACAGAGGCCAGGTTTTCAGCCGGCAGAGCTGGCACAACGTGGACTCCAGTGGGGTGGTGTCGATTTATGCCCCCAAGGGATCTGGTCCATAGAGTTTAACACGCGCAGGTCTGCCTCGTGCTGTGCAAAGCCTTGCCTGCCAGGCTGCACAATGTGCCCGGTGTGTGTGTGTCCACCCCCCATCCCCTGCCCCATCTGTTTGAATTCATGGAGATCATGACAGCGGTGGCCACGGTCATCGATCCGTCCAGCTGTAGGGATGACGGCAGCAGTCGGAAGGTCCTGGGTTGCGGTGATGTCGGCCTTACATTTTGTGTATCCCTTAGGTAAAGGATCCAACACCTTCCCTTCGTAGTCAGCTTGCTCTTGCACACTAATTTGAATTCACTCTTCTTGGCACTATTTGCTGCTTGATGGTAGACCTCCATTTAAAATGAGTCTTGGGGGACAAGACCTTGCTTTCATCTGTCTTTTGGAGGTCTTAGTAATGCATTTGTTGATCTCTTGTGTGGTTTCAGACATCGGACGCTTCTGGGGGGGCGGTGGAGTATTGATTTGGGTTGCATCGGGCTTGGGACCATGACTGTGTCTCTGGTACTTACTGCTTTCCTCTAAACCACGATACGTGCTGGTCAGCAAACGTAGCCAGGTTTCATTGTGTTGCACGCTGCACCTAATTGCGCATTGTTTTCACTTCTTGGTTCTTCCAATTTGGGGAGGCGAAGCATGAAACATAAGGCCAATCCTGCATGGTCAGCTCTGTTGCTTTGAAGGTGAGGAAGATGAGAAACTTGTGGCGTCAGGCCCTTTGTTACAAGGTTTTCACAGCACTTCCATGTCTGTGCCTTGTGCAGTCCATGAGGGAATTCATCCTCTCGCCCGCCCTGGCAAGTTGGTCATTTTACAGCTAGAGACAATGACTAAAAGCCCAAGCCAAAGTCTTCTGAAGTCAAAGGAAAGACTCCCATTGAGTCAGTGGCTTCTTTTGTGTGACTGGCCCACCCAGCATCACACAGGGAGTCTGTTGCAGAGCTGGGAACAAAACCCAGATGAGCTGAATTGTGGTTCTGTGCATTAATCACCAGATTGCCTTCCTCTTCTGGCGAAGGTGTGAGCGTCTGGGATGTGAAGGGACCAAGGCTGCAAACCTGCAAAACAGCACCCGCTTCCCATGTAGAAATCCAGCTGGATCAAGCAGCCCTGGCAAGAAGTGGTGGTGTAATAAAATAATGGGCCAGCTCATGGGCCTTTCTGCTTACAAGCAGACTCCTGAATGTTTTTCATTGTTGCAAGGAAGAAATGTAAGTCATGGCTGTTAATAGGCTTAGCACGTTAATGACCTAATTGACTCCTGTCTGGTTTGGATTAAGTTTTGTGCACAAGGAGTTTAGAAATAGGAAAAATTAATCTGCTCTGACACGCAAAAGGTCTATTCCTACAGAAACGGCATGGCAAATGGTAATCTGGGGTCTTGTTCCCAAGATTTCTCATGGGAATAAAAGGCCCTGTTACAGTGGCAGCCCCCGGTACCACAGAAGCTAAAAGCTTGCTCGAATTTGCAATAGAAACCCCAGTTTTCAGTGGTTTGTAACTTGGCTGTCACATCTCACCCAGGCTGAAACTTGGCATGAGAAGTCAGAGGCTGCAAGCATTTAAGACCATGTTTTTGCACACTTTATATGTTATATATGCACATGTAACGGGGAACTCTAGTTTATGCCTTCATGCTCATTTTTGTGTGCATTGAAGTAGAAAAAAGATGATGCTTTTTTAAAATCATGGCAGTGCCCCTCTTTTCTGTTTTAAAAAAAGAAGAAAAGAAATATATTTACCCATTCTTAGCTATTTTTTCTTCTGTTCTGCCCAGACCTTGTACTTACAGTATTTCATAGGGAAAGACTGAAATTCAATGGTCCGTAAAAGGGAATTGGAGCAAATTGGATTCTTTTCTAATAAAAATGTAAAGTGGCAAATGCTGAGATGTTTAAATCCCAGCTGCTGATTGTGTCCATACATTCCCAGGCCCTTAACCAGCACAAACAGAAGTTACAACAAAATAAAGTGAAAGAAGTAGATAAAGGTAGTGTAGTGCCCCAGTTTTGGGGTTTTGTGCTGGCAGTAGGCCCTGTCCTTCCCAAAGACCTGCTCCTTTGCTGGGAGCCCTCAAGCTTTGTGCTAGTGGGCTTTAAAGAGGTACGGACCGGGTTGTGCTTCCTACTGGCCTGAGATGCCCTTAGTCCCTGTTGATCTGGAGATTCAATACCTACAGCTGGTGTTTCTCAGCTTCGGAGGTGCTTCGGCAGCAGGGACTGGTCCTCCTAGCTTGGATGAGCAGCTGTTTTTAGTCGCGCATGTTTAGATCGCCTGCTCCCCAGCAGAATCCTAGCACGGGAAGGCTGGAAGGGAGCTCAGGAGGTCACATCCAGCCCAACCCCTGCTCAAAGCAGGACTGTCTCCGACTAGATCATCCGGCTAGACAAAGCTTTGGCTGGGGTCTTAAAAACCTCCAAGAATGGAGATCCCACCACCCCTCTGGGTAACCTATTCAAATGCTTTACTTCTCTCCTAATGAGAGAGTTTTTCCTAATATCTAGCCTAAACTTCCCTTGGTGCAACTTGATCCCGTTGCTCCTTGTCCTGTCATCCGCCACCACTGAGAGCAGTCCAGCTCCGTCCTCTTTGGGACCACCCTGCAAGGGGTTGAAGAAAGAAGAAACTATCCAAGGCATAGGGCAGGTTTCTGCTTGGGCACAAACTCGAGCCTCTGTTAAGTCAACAGAAGTCCCCCAAAGAGACTCTTGGATGCTTTGCTCTCAGAGGGGAGAGAAAAGGGAAGGCAGGTTTGTATAAGAGCACGGTGGCTCTACAGGGAAGTGCTCTGTTTCCTAAAGGTGATGCTCTTTTAGGCAAGTTCTAGCGCTTCCTTCTCAAAGGCCTGGGAGGAACAGCTGCATTTCAGGGGGGATGTTTCTAATGGGGTTTAATATACATACATGAAAATGTGTGTACGCCGAAGCATTCTTAGTCTGCTTCACATATGCTGTTATATTAAACTGGGGCCCTGCACTAACTAAGGGGTTAGTGCAGAATAGCCTCTTCCCTTCTGAATCACTCAAGACCCCATGGAGGCTCCTTAGTAAATAGGGAGTGTGGGCAGGGGGACACGGCTGGGGGGTGAGAGTCCCGAGCTGGGGCTGGAGGCAGTGACACCAGCCTGTGCTAGCTGAAGACCAGTCTCGATACATCATCAAAAACCCCAAATCTTTGGGGAAAGGGTTTCTTCTGTTTCTTAGTGGGGGAAAGTATCAATATGAAAAGGACAAAATGAAACCGCATTATGAAAGCAAAGCGATCCCTTCTTAACCATGTTATAAAATGTTCTGTTTCTTTGGGAAATGTGAAGTTCTCTAATAATTTTTCCAAAGGTCTCTGGTGATGTATTAAGCTCCCTTTACATACTGGCCCTGACATAAAATACAGCTTGGGTGCACGAAAAAGCGCAGGGTGTCTTTTGGAGGGGGAAGAGGGCGTTATTTCATATTTGTGACAGAGACCCTATAAATTACCCC